GAGCATGAGCGAGGAGAAGGTCAGAGGGAGAAGCAGACTCCCCATGGAGCTGGGAGCCCGATGCGGGACTCAATCCCGGCACTCCGGGATCATGACCTGAGCCGAAGGCAGTCGTCCAACCAACTGAGCCACCCAGGCGTCCCAAGATCGTGCTTTTCTAATCCTACCATCCTACCATTTCTTTTGCATTTATTAGTTAGAATTCTTCTACAAAAAATAACTTTTTCTTAGCTACCCTTTGGTTACATGCAATATAACTAATCAAGGAATGACCAGAAAAGTGTTTATTTCTCTACATCAATGTTCAGAGTAATTAATTGATTCCCTATAAAACTCCATTGATAACAAATGTGTTGTTTGCCTTAAGTATCATTATTAATGGGTTTTGCATATTTTATGTGTTATGATCAATGGAAGTCATTATTTTTCTTTTTTTTTTCCTAAAGATTTTATTTATTTATTTGACAGAGATTACAAGCAGGCAGAGAGACAGGCAGAGAGAGAGGGGGATGCAGGCTCCCCGCTGAGCAGAGAACCCGATGCGGGGCTCGATCCCAGGACCCTGAGACCATGACCTGAGCCGAAGGCAGAGGCTTAACCCACTGAGCCACCCAGGCGCCCCAGTCATTATTTTTCTTTTAATGCTCAAATTGTTCTATCTTAGACCAGTAGGGTCCTTTGTATTGGTTCTCAGTATACATGACTCCCAATAGTCCTTGATAGTTTCGTGGCTTCTGGGCACAAGACAACCCAAAAATCATCTTTCTTGTTCCAGATCTGGAACCAGCCATTTATCAAAGGAGCCTTGATTTTTTTTTTTTTTTTGCTTAATTTTTAAATTTTTTTAAACTAGAAAATGGTGTTTAGAGACCAAATCTGTGCTTTAGGGGTGTTCATTACTACTGGATTGGTGATTATTTCTAGGTCTTTTTAGCAGAAAGTAGAAAACACAGTTTTGTTTTGTTTAAAGATTTTTTATTTATTTATTTGACAGACGGAGATCATAAGTAGGCAGAGAAGCAGGCAGAGAGAGAGGAGGAAGCAGGCTCCCTGCTGAGCAGAGAGCCCAATGCAGAGCTTGATCCCAGGACCCTGAGATCATGACCTGAGCCGAAGGCAGAGGTTTTAACCCACTGAGCCACCCAGGCACCCCAAAAACACAGTTTTTAAGAGGAAAATACATACTTCATTCATTCTGCTCTCTAACCCATATATAAAATTATCCTAGGCTTATTTAAATTTTTTTTAAAGATTTATTTATTTATTTGAGAGAGAAGGCACGAGGGGGTGGCGGTAGAGGGAGACAGAGAGTCTTAAGCAGACTGGTCACCGAATGCAGGGCCTGATGCAGGAGTTTTATCTCAAGACCATGAGATCATGATCCGAGCTGACACCAAGAGTCAGATGCTTAAAAACTTTGCCACCCAGGTGCCCCATCCTAAGCTTGGTTTTTGCTTTGTTTTTGAGATTTTATTTATTTGAGAGAGAGATATATAGTGAGAGCGAGCATGAGCAGGGGGTAGAGGGAGAAGCAGGCTTCCCACTGAGCAGGGAGCCCAATGCAGAGCTTGATCCCAGATCTCTGGAATCATGGCCTGAGCTGAAGGCAGATAGGTGCTTAACCAACTGAGCCACCCAGCACCCCTAGGCTTGTTTTATATTAACTCTTTTTCTCATTTGTTGAAAATCTTGATGCCTAATGTCATTGACATACTTATTTGCCTTATCCTTAAATATATCTTTCAAAATAGCTATGTCAATATTACTTATTTTTTTAAAGATTTGGTTTTTTGAGAGAGAGTGTGCACGGTAGGGAGGGGCAGAGGAAGAGGGAGAGAGAAACTCAAGCAGACTTCTTACTGAGCATGGAGCCTGACTTGGGGCTCCATCTCACCACCAGAGCTGAAACCAAGAGTCCCATGTTTAACCAACTGCACCACCCAGGTACCCCAGAAATGTCAATATTACTTCTAACAAGACTAATGAGTGCAAATTAATATTTGTATGCAGTTCTAGTTGTCCTCAGACTATAGCCCATTAAGGAGGTACAGTCAAAATACTTATAAAGCCATGGCGCCTGGGTGACTCAGTGGGCTAAGCCTCTGCCTTCGGCTTGGTTCATGGTCTCAGGGTCCTGGGATCGAGCCCCGCATCGGACTCTCTGCTCAGCAGGGAGCCTGCTTCCCTTCCTCTCTCTCTCTCTCTCTGCCTCTCTGCCTACTTGTGATCTCTGTCTGTCAAATAAATAAATAAAATCTTTAAAAAAATACTTATAAAGCCAACTGAAATGATTTTCTATATGTAGTTACACCACCAACCTGACACACAAATGGCACATTTGTTTCCATTTGTTTTTATGGAATGTTTTATTCTTTTTACTGAACTTTGTTTTATAAATATGCAAAACATTTACAAGTTTCCAAGAGTCACTGTATAAGGTACATTCACAGAAGTCTCATTTACATCTCCATCCTCTCCATCCCACAAAGGAAACCATTTTTAGAAGACTGAAGTTTATTCTTCTACTGTTTAACTTTTAAACATAAGCAATTAATGTTCCTTTATATCATCCTGCTACTGGGTGATATAAACACTACTACGCACCTCGCTTATTTCACTTAAAACTATATATGGACATCTCTCCAAATTGGCATGTTTATTAGGTTATGTAAGAAGTCTTCCACATATCTTTGTATGGTTGCTTACATGCTCTCCTGTGCCTGTATTATAATTTATTCAGCCAGTTCTTTGACATGTGAGCAGTTTCCAATGTTTTACTATGAAAGTGCCATAATGAATAACTAGTGCATACAGCTTTTTGTGTTTTTGTCAATATTTATCACTAGGATTGATTCCTAGAAGTTCAGGATTTGACCTAGGATTCCTGGGTGAAATAGTACATAGATACATAGAGTGGCTATGTGTTGCCAGATTTTCTTAATGAGTTACATCATTTTGCCTTCCTATAAGCAATGTAGGACAATACCACCCTTGGGTGTATCTTAATACCATAAAAGATAGAGGAGGCTTCAGAGATGAATCATAGACAAGGTTCCTGTCCCAAGGAATTCTCAGTCTAGTAGAAGTCCTATGGGCAAACAAACAATGATGTAAATGTAATAAGCAGAGGAAGATTTACCCTGGAAGTAATGAAGCTTAAGCTTGAGGCGCTCCCTTACACAGACACTTCCAAAGGCCCCAGCAGTGTGTTCATGGGGTCATTTTGCAATCTTTTTCCTAAAGAAAACACCCCCAATTTTTTAAGCTTCAGGCCTTATAGGACCTGAACCCATTACAATCTTTAGTCAGCCTGTCTTTGGGGTTACGGAGTTGGATTTCAAGTCTCAGTTCTGCTGTCCGAGGAGGGACTCCTATATTTAATGACTGAAACAAACAAAAGGAAAAGGCTCTTCTAACCAAGAGAGATACTTCTCTCAGGATTCAGATGGATTACCCACACAGGTATTAAGACCATCTATAGTTTCTCTCTAATTTCAAGAGCAGAAACTAAGCCTTGGCGGGCGTCAGTATCCCCAGCAGAGAGCTGAAGACTGGGGGATGGCACTCAGAACAAAAGTCTGAACGGATTATAGAGCAGGGTGCTGTCGGGTTTTTGGCAGAGGAGTTGTACTAGGAGAGTAAGTATTCAAGGCAGGTACACACACACACACCCCAAACTACACAACTTTTGCACAAATAAGGCAGAGGTCTGTTTTCTCACCTGTAAAAACAAGGTTAGCAATAAAGCCTACCCTTTGGGATTTGGTCAGGATTAGAAAAGCTAATTTAAACACCTAACCCAGGCTCAGACTCTGAGAAGAAGGTCCATAAATAGAGGACAGCAAATAAAATGGGTAAGTGGTTGATCCTCGAGAGCCCCAACAGGGATTCTTTGCACGTCGTGCTTACTGCAGCACTGGGAGCAGGAACCGCTTTGTTGACAAATAGTAGCTGCAGAATAAATTGGTGAAGAAGGGACGGACGTTTCTGGCGGATGCTTACTGATCCGTGCAACTAACTGAATAATGGGCTAGTCCGAGTCTGAGTCACTGACAGTCCCGGGCTGGCTGTCAGGCGACTGAATGCCGGGATCTGACACACCGCTGTCCGTCTCGCCCCGAGAGAAGGGCTGCCTTCGCGGTCCATCCCGGCCCCGGCCGCCTCGGACCTCGCGCGGGCTGGATCCCGACCCCCCGCTGGGGCCACCGCCCCGCAGGGACTGCGTGGGCGGCAGCGGCCAGGTGCGGAGGCCTCCGCGCCTTCCTCCCCGCGCCGGGCAGAGCGCCCCCGACTCCCGGCCGCGGCGGCCCGGGAACAATGAGGTGCCGGCTTCTTTAAGGGAGATACCACCGCGCCGGCGGGGCAGGGGACGGCGTCCTCCCAGATGATCGCACCCAGTCCCGCGCCGCCGCCGCCTGGGCAACTGCACCGTCCGCAAACATGGCTCAGTGACTCTGACAAAAGGTGCAGCCTCCCACCCGGCTGGGCGGACGCCAGGCCCCCCAGCTCGGACCGCGCCTCCCCGCGGACTAGCCGAAAAGCTCCGCGTCCCGCAGGCACCCCAAGCCCGATCCGAAGAAGATGCACCAGGCGTTCCGCCCCAGCGACCCCCGCACACCTGCCCGCAGCTCGGTAGGTGGGAAGGGGGGCGGGGAGCGAACGGGGAGGCCGCGCCGGGCGCGCGCACCCCCAGGCCCGGACCTGCTGCCGCAGACCGTCCCCGGAGCCCGCGGGCCGTGCGCGCCCGCTGCGGCTAGACGGTGACCGAGCCCTGGCGGGCAGCGGCCTCCCCGTTCCGGGGCCCGGCCACCCCTGCGGGGAGGGGCACTAGTGGTGCGCTCCAGAGCGCGCACACCTTCGGCGACTCCCGGCTACTGCGAACCACGGGAGAGGGAGGAGGCTAGCGGAGGGCGAGGAGCGCGCCCAATAAAAAGGCGCTCGGCTTCCCGGCTCGCGCTACGGAAAGCCGGAGGGGGGCGGGGCCGCGCGGCGTAAGGGGGTGTGTCCGCGCGCACCACGGGGGCGCGCGCCGGTCTCTGACTGGAGGCCGCGGAGGCTGAGGCGCGAGCTGCCCGATAATGGCGGCCTGCAGAGCCCGTGAGAGGGAGAAGCGGCGGCGGCTACCCTGAGGTAAATATGGCCCTCAGACCTGGCACTGAGGCCCTTCTGCAGAGCCGAAGGCCTTGCATGCACCTCCTTCCCCGGGAGGCCTGTCACAGACCTGTCAGCGGAGTCATGCTAGGGAAGGCCCCGCGCTCCTCAGGCCTCCGGCCCGCACCCCTCAGGCCACCGGCCCCAGCTGCGGCCTCCTCTTCTGTCCCTGGTCTCCTCCCCAGGGCCCGGGCCTCATCCGAGGATTTGGGACAGCCGCGGGACTGTCTCCTCGGGTGAAGGGCCTCGGGAGGATCCCCTCCGGGTTTCGTCTGGACGCCGCCAGGGAGGGGGAGGGGGAGGGCCTGATACTCGGCCAATGAGCGGGTCGCTGAGCGGCCGCGTCGGACGACACCTCTGCCCAGGACTGGCCCTTCCCGGGCCGGGCAGGTTGTGTGGCCTGGCCCGCCGGCCGCCGGGCGCTGGCTCAGCGCGGCGGGCGCGAGGGCCCGGGAAGTGCTGGCCGGTCGCTTGGGTTTGCAGCCAGGGATTTCATAAACGCCCTCCCTCTGCCTTACGCGGGTGCTCTGTCGTGTGCGGGTGTGGGACAGCTTGCAAGACAGGAGCCACTTTGAGGTAGATGGTAACTGGCGATCCACGGAGAGCAGGAAAGAGTGTCTGCTGTGGACCTGGAGCCAGGATTCCGAGGCAGGGTATCAGACACTAGGGATACAGTAGGAATGTGAAGGGGGGTTCCAGTTAGAGGAACTGGGACTAAGAAGTAATCTCAGAAGCTTTCATTTTCTTTACTAAATCTATCCTATGGACTTAAAGTAGCTGTACCCAATTTTTCAGGCTCAAGAGTCAGTAGCCTCTTGTTCCCCCTAAACTGTACATTCGAAAGATTGCACAATCTCTTGCCCATTGTGGCAATCCACAGATAAGAATTTGTTCCTGAAGCTCATTAGAATCTTAACATTCTTCGGAGAATGAGGTGGCACACTTAAGACTTTCTAGATTCAACTCATGAACATCCTCTGTGTAGGGCCTCTGCCTTTAAATGATTTATCAAGTTGAACTTGAAAGAACACAGTCAGAGGACAGTTTTTAGTGGCAAAAATGGCCTACATCTAAATAGGTGTTGTTTACATTTAACAACAGAAAGGTAACAGCATTCTAAGTAGCTTGCTTTATTTTTAGAGGACCATTTTTCTCCACAGAGTTTATTTTCATTTATTTTGCAAGAAATGAGGAAATAACATAAACAAAATTAAAATAGGGACATACACAGTTTGTTTACTTTAAAAAAAAACCCCACATTTTGAATTCTATATGTAATCTAGTCTACTTTCAGTCCCTAAGCACAAGCCAGCTGTTTTTTGTTTTTGTTTTGACATTTTTATGAACTTTGTGTATGTTAGCTTTAAGGAGACGCTGGAGTTTCTTTTTTCATGACCAGTAAATAAGAATGATGAATTTTCTGGTTTTTAACAGTAATATTTTGAAGCAGTTTGTATGGGAGGCAGTGTAGTGTAATGGTTATGTTTATGAATGTCACAGGCAGATGCCCTGGTTTCAAAACCCAGGTCCACCAGTAGCTCTTTTACCTTAGGCATGTTGCTTAAACTCTCTGTGCTTTCGTTTTGTTATCTATAAAATGACCATAATAGTATCTATTTCATAATATTGTTGTGAGAATTAAATGAATTTAATATTATGAAGTGCTTGAAACAGATCCTGATACATGGTAAGTACTACCAAAGGGTTAGCTGCTTTATTATTACTATTCAAATACTTAGATTTGCCCAAGTTATAGCAAATATCTTTCAAGCACTGCAAACAGTGAGACAGATAATTAAATCATACATAAAAAGGTATACAAGCCAGTAAGTATACTTAATTTCAACAGAGCACTTTGTTGATTTTTCCAGAAACTTTGACCTTGAAGATGGTGAGTAGCCAGCCAAAGTACGATCTAATACGGGAGGTAGGCCGAGGCAGTTACGGTGTTGTGTATGAAGCAGTCATCAGAAAGACCTCTGCACGGGTGGCGGTGAAGAAAATTCGATGCCATGCACCTGAAAATGTTGAACTAGCCCTGCGTGAGTTCTGGGCACTAAGCAGTATCAAGAGCCAACATCCAAATGTGATTCACTTGGAGGAATGCATCCTACAAAAAGATGGGATGGTGCAAAAAATGTCCCACGGCTCTAACTCTTCCCTTTATTTACAGGTACGTGTGGTTGAATAGGAATAGATATAACTTGAATTTAGTATTGGTCAGCAAGAAGAGGAATAAACGAGTCAGATGAGCTTCTACTTTTAAATGCAGGTGTTTATATAGTTAGGAGTAGATAAGGGTCTGCCAAGAACTGAATAGATGTTTGCTTTAAAACAGGGTTTTATTTAAACCTGTGATGCAAATACCTAAAAATAACATAAGCCACCTGTTATGCCATGGTACTTGCCAGTCTGCATGGGAATGGGGCAACATAGGAGCTAGAAAAGTGATCAAGATTAGAGTCTGATAAATTCACTTATTTGAAATCAAGTTTTTGGGAACTAAATCCAGAAGAAAAGGAAAAACTCCACAATCAATAGCAGCACCCATATAGGTAATTGGGCATTTCTTTATAAATCACTGATTCGAATATAAGCATTTGCTGTTTTAGAGGGTTGTGTGGTTTCTTAACCATGCAACTCTAGTTATTTTTCAGGAAGTATGTTGCATAGCACTTGAATGTTATTAATAGTACTAATAGCTAACATTTGGGTTCCAACTCAGTTCCACACTATGTGCTCAAAGTGTTTTAAAGGCAGTTGCTCAGAACAATCCTGTGAGGGTAGTACTATTATCATTATTACAAATGAAGAAATTGAGGCTTAGAATAAATAATGAATTTATCCAAGTCACATATCCAGCAAGTGGCAGAATTGGTAACTGAATGTAGGAGACTATCTGACCGCTAAAACTTGTGTCCTTTTAACTTCCAAATTACTCTTGCCTTCAAATTACTTTTTTTGTAGACCCGGGGAAAGCATTAACATAGGAAAACAGAAAAGGTTTATTTGTTTGTTTATTTATTTGGTTGGTTGGTTGGCTGGCTTCTAATATAGTTCAAAATCTCTAGTAGGCCTGTATTTGCTAAAGAGAAAAGATACTTAAGACATAGCTAGTTAAAGGCCAGAGAAAAATTTAAATCCAGTCATTCTTGGAAGAGGAAACAACTTCCCATGAGTATGTCTAAATTCAGAATTTTAACCATCAGGGTACAGAAGTATGATTTTAAAACAACAAAAACTTTTGGACCAGGAACAACAAAGAAAACAAACATGGATCTGTTTAATTAGAAACTTGCAACTTTCATTATATGGTGAACAAATATCAATCTTGAGAACCTAATTTATATTGCAGTTTAGCATGCTATATCCTGAAGTTTTACCTCTTAAGACAGTAACTGTAAAGCACAACTATTTCGCCTCTATTCCATTTACTGTTTACTTTTCTAAAAGTGCTTAGTATGTAAGTTGCACTGATGGAAAATACTAGAAACCTTCTTACCATGCTCCCTCTTAAAAGTGGATAGAACTTTGATGAACTTTGCCATTGAACTGATCTACAAATACAAAGACATTTAAATATATGACTTAGTGCTAATGGTATCCTTCAGTCCAGATCAAGCAACCTTTATAGTATTAGGTGGTCATTCAAGCCTTTAAGATGTAAAGTATTGGGGCACCCGGCTGGCTCAGTCAGTAGAGCATGTGACTCTTGATCTTGGGGTTGTAAGTTTGAGCCCCATGTTAGGTGTAGAGATTACTTAAAAAAATAATAAAAATAATAAGATGTAAAGTACTTCCAGCCTTGACTCAATGATTTTTTTTTTTAATCTAAAACACCTTTTTATTTAGTACTCCCTTTTATCTTTTAAAGGCTGATAGGGGGGTGCCTGGGTAGTGCAGTGGGTTAAAGCCTCTGCCTTTGGCTCAGGTCATGATCCCAGTGTCCTGGGATCAAGCTCCGCATCCGGCTGTCTGCTCAGCAGGGAGCCAGCTTCCCCCACCCCACCTCTGCCTGCCTCTCTGCCTACTTGTGATCTCTGTCAAATAAATAAAAACTATTTTTAAAAATATTTTAAAATAGATAAATAAAGGCTGATAGGCCTGTGTTTGACTTGTGGCACTTTTGCTAGCTCTATGATCTTGGCTAAATAACTCATCTCTTCCAGCATCTGTATCTTCAGATGTAAAATTGTAATAATAATTTTACCTTCCATGGAAGTTGTCAAAATTAGAAATGATACAGTAAAATACTTGGCACATAGGAAGTACTCAGTAATAGGTAGCTCTGTTAAAAGCTCTATTAAAATTGTCTTTTCTGTGGATTTATTAACAAGACATTGATCAACACACTTAACAAGTGCCTTCTCTAAATTTACATCTGGTAAAAACAGTTAAATCTGTAGCATGACCAAAAAAAAAAAATCTGTAGCATGACCACAGAGTCCCAATGCATGGCTTTCTCCATTCTCTACACAAGTTTTTGTTTTTCTCCATGTTTTTCTAGATGTTTTCCTTGTTCTGAATGATTAAGTCAGTTCGTAATAGCTAAAAAATTTAGCTAGAAGAAAATGTAAAGCAAATTAATTAACAGAGGATACATTCTCAACATAGGAACTTGGTGCCAGTCTGTATAACTTGTAATCAGTGTCATGAATGAGAGATACAGAATGATGTAAGAGCATATGAGAGAGAACCTGACATAACCTAGGGTTCAGGAATTATGAGTTGTTTCAACTGAAAATTGAAGGGTAAAGAGGAGTTAGCCATGTGAGTGAGAAAACTTGCCTGCCAGAAAGAACTGTACATACAGATGTTTTGAAGCAAAAAATACAAAGCATTCTAAGAATTGAAAGAATATAGTAAGATTGTACTATGCCAGCAGAGTTGTTTTACATGAAACTAGAAAGGTCAGCAGGGTCAAAGGATCCCACAGTCCATGTTCAAGACCTTAGACTGTATCCTAAGAGAACAGGGAAACTGTTGAAGGACTTTAGGCAAGAGAACCAATGACGCTACATCCTTTACACATGGAAATAAGTGGATTGGGCTCTCTCAACCAGCAGCCCTCAAACTATAGCCCTCAGGCAATTTTTTATATGGCCCAGATGCTAAAAATAGTTTTGACATTTTTAAAGAGTTAAGGAAAAGAAAGAAGAATATGGTACAGAAACCTTATGTGACTTGTCAAGCCTAAAATATTTACTGTCTCAACTTACTCTAAACCATTCTTTGAATGCTGGGACTTTGCGTTGCTCAAAGTTATTTAGAAGTTTGCTTTTGAGAGTAAGACAGAAGAAGAGAGAAAATGAAGTAAGAGTAATGGCACTGATCTTTAATCTCGGCATATTTAGTAACAGTGCACCTGGTAAATAATTGTGTGATCTGTACTTTTCTAGTCTTTCATTTTCTGGCTCACTGGCCAACACGCAACAAAGAAGACATCTGCAGACGGTTGCAATTACAGCTGTTTGCCATTGGGGGAGATGGTGTGAAAGGTGTTCTTTGCTTCTGCCCTCCAAATGACAAGAGGAAGTACTAGTAGACTTAAATGTGAACTTGCAGTTCATTCTTCAACAACTCTTCAGCTTCCCTACTGAGTTTCTATTCAGTGGGTCTGAAAAGGCACCATGGGACAAATGCTTTCAAAGTATTGTATGCTATATTTTAGAATGGTAGTTCATATTCAGTGAAGTAATCAATATTCTTGAATTTCAGGTCATAGAATTATAATTTGATAATGATAACAAATAAAATAACAACTTATTCTAGGTTTTCAGCTTGTAGCAAAGAAATATACAAACCCTGAGGTGCCTGGGTGGTTCATTTGGTTCATTTGGTTAAGCATCTGCCTTTGGCTCAGATTCTGGAGTACTGGGACCAAGCCCCACATGGGGTTCCCTGCTCAGCGGGTAGTCTGCTTCTCCCTCTCCCTCAGCCATTCTCCCAGCTCATTCTCTCTCTCTCACTGTCTCTCAAATGAATTAAAAAATCTTAAAAAAAAAAAAGAAATATACAAACTCATATTTGAATTTTTATATCAAAATGTAAATATGTCTTTTTATTAATTGGTTTTTAGAAGCCATATAGTGATAGAGATAGACAGTATATTTGCATTCTGCCTGTAGAAGTTTTTGAAGTAATAATGGCAGTCTTTATTTTTATCAGTGACTACAGGAAGGCTTGATTTCCTTTTTTTTTCCTTTCTTTTTTTTTTAAAGATTTTATTTATTTATTTGTCAGAGAGAGAGAGAGAGCGAGCACCCAGGCAGGCAGAGTGGCAGCAAGGAGCCTGATTTGGGACTCGATCCCAGGATGCTGGGATCATGACCTGAGCCGAAGGCAGTTGCTTAACCAACTGAGCCACCCAGGCATCCCTCCTTTTTTTTTTTTTTTTTTTTTTAAGATTTTATTTATTTATTTGACAGAGGGAGAGACAGCAACAGAGGGAACACAACACAAGCAAGGGGAGTGGGAGAGGGAAAAGCAGGCTTTTCAGAGAGCCCAATGCAGGGCTCGATCCCAGGACCCTGGGATCATGACCAGAGCCGAAGGTGGACGCTTAACGACTGAGCCACTCAGGCACCCCAAGGCTTTATTTCCCTAACAACTAGTGTTCCTGATCATTTCTCTTCTAATTTTACAGATTGTATAACGTTAATAGTGTATGTCCAATGAACAAGAAACATATTTCAGGCAGTTTAATTGAATAGAACTTCCTAATTGATGTCAATACCTCAGCTGGCACTCTCCCAGGTCTACTAGCTGCTGAAATGTCAATTTTTTTTATGAAGCTCTTGTGTAGGTAGGTAAAGTTCAGGTCCATTAACTCATGCAGAAAATGTATAGCCAGTTGGATACTTTTAAAAATAAAACGTTTGTTTGTTTATGACTTAGTAAGCTTTATGCCCAATGTAGACTTAAACTCATGACTCTGAGATCAGGAATCCCATGCTTTACCAACTGAGCCAGCTAGGTGCCCCTAAAGCTTTTTTTTTTTTTTTTTAAGATTTTATTTATTTATTCGACAGAGAGATCACAGGTAGGCAGAGTGGCAGGCAGAGAGAGACGGGAAAGCAGGCTCCCTGCTAAGCAGAGAGCCCAATGCTCAATCCCAGGACCCCAGGATCATGACCTGAGCCAAAGGCAGAGACTTTAACCTACTGAGCCACTCAGGTGCCCCCTAAAGCTATTTTAAAATAACTTTTTACCTCCTGACTTAGAGATTTGGTATGTATTCATTAGGGGCAGTTTGAAGTACTGAAATTTAAAATAAAATGCACATATGAGAGCATCGACCAAATAAAACATTCATGAAATTTCCACTTAAAATTGGGAGTCCAACTTATTAATCAGTTAGTTATTCTTTTTCTGTAGCTGAATTGTATAAACTGTGCAGATGCCTGTAATCTGTTTTTCCCTCTTGTAGCTTGTAGAGACTTCATTAAAAGGAGAAATTGCCTTTGATCCCAGAAGCGCCTATTACTTGTGGTTTGTGATGGATTTTTGTGACGGCGGAGATATGAATGAGTATCTATTGTCCAGGAAACCCAATCGTAAAACTAACACCAGCTTTATGCTTCAACTGAGCAGTGCTCTGGCTTTCTTGCATAAAAACCAGATCATCCACCGAGATCTTAAGCCTGATAACATCCTGATTTCACAAAGCAGGTTGGATACCAGTGACTTGGAACCCACACTGAAAGTGGCTGATTTTGGTCTCAGTAAAGTTTGTTCAGCCTCTGGGCAGAATCCAGAAGAACCTGTCAGTGTAAACAAGTGTTTCCTTTCCACAGCTTGTGGAACAGATTTCTACATGGCTCCTGAAGTGTGGGAGGGACATTACACAGCAAAAGCTGACATCTTCGCTCTGGGGATTATCATCTGGGCAATGCTGGAAAGGATCACATTCATAGACACAGAGACAAAGAAGGAACTCCTGGGGAGTTATGTAAAACAAGGAACTGAGATTGTGCCTGTTGGAGAGGCGCTTCTGGAAAATCCCAAAATGGAACTTCTCATTCCTGTGAAGAAAAAGTCTATGAATGGGCGGATGAAACAACTGATTAAAGAAATGCTGGCTGCAAACCCTCAGGATCGTCCAGATGCTTTTGAACTAGAACTCAGATTAGTACAAATTGCATTTAAAGATAGCAGCTGGGAAACGTGACACATACATTGTTTGCAAATATCTTGGATGATATGCTGCTTATGTTTTAACAGTGATGCAACAACATAATGTGGCTGAAAAGAATATAAAAAGCTAAACTCCACCTTTTAAGGGTTTAGATTTTATTGTGGGGTGTTTTTTTTCCTCGTTTTTCTTAAGTCCAAGCTGGCCATTTTGTTAGTATGTTTTAAATGTGTATTACCAATGTGGGTGTACATTTTTAAAAATGATCATTGGTAGAAGTTTGGCAGGAAAATTCTCTTAAGAGCCAAGAAGAGAAGAAAGTCCAGTTCTCTGGAAATAAGTCTCAAGTATTTTAGACATTCCTTGTCAGTATTAGGAATTTCCATGGAAGAAGAGGTTTGCATGCTGGCAATGCAACCTTTGAAGCTTTGTAAAGGAAACATATATGTATATATTTATGTATATGTAAGTATGTGAATGTGTGCATTTTGCATTCCATATGAAGAAAATGCCACTTCTGTTTAAATTATTTGATGTAGGTTTGGGTTTTTGAGATTTGCTGGTGAAATCAGTGATGAAAAATAAAAGAACCTTCCCTCATCTTCCTCCTCTGCCCCTCCCTCTAATGAAATCATACTACACTTTTTATTTTTGTAATATTATACGGCTTTTTTTAAGGCATCATTTTGGAGGGTCTAAAGTTATCCGATTAAGCATAAAATTAAGTGATCCAAAGCTGCTGAAGTATGTTTGAGCTGTCCAGTGCCCTTTAGCTGCAGGAGTTGAAGTAGCCATGCAATCATGTGGTAGCAGGTTGGCAAGGACCTTGATGATTCAGTCGTACCTTCTTTAGGTAACCAAGCATTCAATTAACCAATTAAACCATTGCACTGGAACATGTCTGCACTTGAGCATCTGCAATCTGATACAAATCTGAACACAGGATTCCTGTTTCTGAAAACTTTGCAATATATGAACTCTACTACTTGATATAGTAAGTTTTGATTTCAAGACTGTCTAAGCCTCAGCATAAAGTTGAAATCAAATGAGCTCTGCCCTCACATTGCCTGTCCTGATATGGTCTCTTGTTTAATCACTGGAATTCCTTTCGTTTTGGCACTAATGCTGTTTTCTCTTGCCTAATTTAACACAGTAATGATAGTGATATGGTTGTGTTAAATGTTGATCACCTTTTTCTGAAGTGGGAGATGATACCTATACAGCGTGGTAAATGGATGAAATATTGTGGCATCCTGTATATCTTTCAAGTAGGAACTTGCAAGTTACCGATTTTATACAATCACTTGGTATGGTCTATGTCAAAAAACAATAGACTGTTACTCTAATTGAAGTTAGTTTGATTTTTAACCCTAGATGGTTGTCTCCAGTTTGTTTTCCTATAAGTGCAGATAATTAAAATCTAAGAAAGTTTTGCTAAAACAGAATATTAGCCTTTAAGGTTAGATAGACTTTAAGGCCATTGTATCTAGGTTAGTCTTTATAAAGCACTAGAATCTTTGGTCAAAGTAAAAAAAAAAAAAAAAATATATATATATATATATATATATATATGAATACCAAAATTATTAATAGTTGCATAGTCTCCTCAGCTTTTTTTTTCTGAGTTTTTTTGTTTGTTTGTTTTTTAATTAAAGCATAGTTGACACCCAGTGTGTCTCCTCCTCAGCTTTTTCAAACTTCCATAACTTTTGGAATTTTGCTATCATCATATTTTCCTTACTTAAAATATATTTGAGAACTTGAGAAGGTGAAAAAGCACAAAGAATTAGAGTATGTAAAATTTCTGAATTCTGCATTCATTGGCCTGGAAGTTTAAAATTTGGAATGAAAGGTTTTACTGAGATAAAACCTTCTATTTTTTTCTTAAATAAAACCTTTTAAAATTAAAAAAATCATATACTTTGAACATCACTTCAAGCTAATAAATACAAGATTTTTTTGGAAATGAGAGGTGGAAATACACTGGAACCTCACGATAATTGACCCTGTGGATCTCCAAATTACTGTAACACAGATCTGGCCAAGGGGATTGAGTTACTGGAAGTGGGAAGAATCATCATGTTGCATTAGTAAATGGCACTTCCGCAGAGATTCATGGTGGTTCGGTGGTAGTGGGCCAGTGCTTCATTTGCTCTTCAAATATCTATGTGCTTGGAGCCCCGGTTTCCTAAGTACATAGTTTTTGGTCTTGCCTCATTTAAAATAGCTAACGATTATCATTTATTTTGAAAGATTTCACCTGTGAAGTGAATTCTTTCATTGGCAGCAAAGGTAGGAGGTAATCAGGAAGTTTCTCTTGGAATTTTCTCAAGTCCTTATATTCTAAAATAGTCTATGATACCAAGCAAAAGGATAGTAAATTCTTTGTCTTTATTTGTTTTTTTCAATCAGGAGGTATTTATTTAGTACCTACTGTGAGCTCAGCACTAAAGGTCCGTTGGTAAAATGACAGTTTAAAAAAATGGCCTATAGCCACAGGCCTTTTCCAGCCAGGAGTAAGAAATAAAAGAAGGTTGATGATACTTGGAAATTCCTGGATATTTATTTGCTAGAGGAAAAATGAAAGCAAAAATTTGTGCACAGTGCCTTGCCCATAATAGGTACTCAATAAAAAATTATTCCTCAGAGTCTCTTGCCATGGTTTATAGTGTTTTATGAAATTTGTCTTAATTGAAGAAAAGACCAAATATTTCAAATAAGCTTATAGGCAGCTGTGGCCAGTTAAAATATGGGGTTGTACAGTTAGTTCCTAGAATGTTATTTTGCACTAGTTGTCACTTAGAAAGACGGGGTTCCTGTAGATTTTTGGTGCTAAGGGATACTTTGTCATTACGATGAAGTAAGTGTTAAGTGTCAGATAAATAGCACACTGAATAGTTCTTTCTGCTGGTCTGTTTTTTCCTCTTTGTTGTTGTTGTTGTTTTTAATTGTAAAACGTTTATCAATCAAACTATTGTAGCAGCTACAAAATAATTCACCAGCATGACAAAATGGTCAAAAAATAAGTCATCAGCACTTCAAAAATGAAAGCAACTTTTAAGATTTTCTTTTAAAATTGTCAAATATATTTTATGAAGAATTTATAAAAGGGGGAAATGATTGTAATTTATTGTTCATGACTGTTTTTTTTTTAAATAAAGTGAGTTTCAACAACAAAAAAAAAACCTACCCTGAAAATTTTATATTGTTGATTTGGTGGCTCTGTCTGGTTCTATACTGTTTTACTTCATGGGGACGCCTGGGTGGCTCAGTGGGTTAAGCCACTGCCTTCAGCTCAGGTCATGATCTCAGGATCCTGGGATCGAGTCCTGCATCGGGCTCTCTGCTCAGCGGGGAGCCTGCTTCCCTCTCTCTCTCTCTCTCTGCCTGCCTCTGTCTACTGTGATCTCTCTCTGTTTTACTTCATGAACATAAAACAGGGTATAAAATTGGAAACAATGTCATTTTCATTCCCTTATTAAGTGAAACTTTCTGTAATAGAAGTTATTGCTGAGGAAAAGATTATTGAAATATAGGAATTTCTTTCAGCATTTCAAGTTCTCCAATTTTATTTTAAGAATTTATTTATTTATGTCAGAGAGAGCGCACACAAGCAGGGGAAGCGGCAGTCAGAGGGAGAAGCTCCCTGCTGAGCCAGGAGCCTGATGCGAGACTAAATCCTAGGACTCTGGGATCATGACCTGAGCTGAAGGCAGATGCTTAACTGCCACCCACGCGTCTCTCAAGTTCTCCAGTTTTAATGCTTACTCTTTTGCTGTTTTTGTCAGAAGAACTTGTATTGCCTAAAATAAATGATTTTTTTCATTAACCCTTCTATCTCATTAAGATGAAGATTTATCCCAGACTCAGAATGAAACATGGTGAACGTGCCAGGAAGAGTATTATTTCAAGCTATAACTTGAAAGCATGGTTTCCTTTCTATAAATTCAGCTGGCCTGCTTTTTTTCTTGTATAGCTTTTATTATAGATGCCTTCTTCAGAATAAACAAAGTACTGAAGACACAGTGCACTTAGTGGTCCAAAGGAGCAGCAGAGGGAAAGATGGGAGACAGAAAACATTAATGCTACATGTGATCTAGTGACAAATAGGAAATTAGGCATCAGGAATTGTGGCTGCTTCTGACTGCCACCTTGTCCTGGCATAGCCTTTGTAGACAGGCAAATCTGGCTTTCTATTTAGTGATTAATTTTTTTTCATTGCATCTTAAACTATAAATATTTGCATTTACTAGCTTTTTTGTAATCCTTTGCAGTTTACAAAGAACTTTCACTGGTTTTTATGTATCTTTTCAATGGGTTTTACTTAAAACAAGGACTGGTTTCTTGACGAAATGAATAGTAATACACCAGGTAGGGTGGTAATGGTGTAAGGGTTTTAGAACCTAATCTCAGACTCCAGTTGGAGTTTTCTCTAACAACAAAGCTTTATCTTCCTCACTGAAGGACTGACCTCTGGTTGTTTTGGTCTTTTCTTTAAATTCAAACGTTGCTCTCCTAGTCAACCAATCATAGATGTCCTGTGAAATGCAATGTAATGACAGACAGTTGGTTTGTGGTTAGATAATAACTCCTACTTGAGAAAACCTCCCCGCCACACCTCTTGAGGGCTCAGGGCTGTCCTGCGTCTCTTAAAGGCAGTACTTTCTCTTTTGCAATGATTTCTCATTGGTTAGAAGGGAATTGTTTAAAAAAAAAAAAAAAAAAAGATGTCTTTGACTTCACTCTTTCACTTCCTGCTCAGTCCTGGTATTTCAAGCTTAGCTTGTTCTGAACAGAAGTTAGGCAACTTGGTATTACTGAAGGCATCATGGCCTAGCAGCTAAAGGATAGGTTTGCCGTAGCAGATCTATTAAACGCTAGCTTTTGCAAATACCTGCCTAATTAATATGTGGCGTTGGGCAAGTCACTTCATTCTGAGCCTTAGTTTTCTTATCTGTAAAATGGAGATGATACATTGGATGATGATATGTACATTTCAGAATTTTTCTCAGGGTCAGAGATAATGTAGGTAAAGTACCTGGCATAATACCTGGCACATTCAGTTCTCAAATGGTAGCCATTGTTGTTAATTGTGTTCTGATATTGACAATATGCTGAATGAATGAATGGTATCTCAATGAGCCAGGCTTCGTAGCTTTCATTTTTCTCCCCTTTGGGAGAATCTGATGAAGGCGTTAACGTCCTCTCCTCAGGAAAATGTCTGCCTGTGATTTCAGGGGAAACTGGGGATGATGGGTATGTTCATGGGTTTCATACATATATAAGAATTCACCAAACAGTACTTAAATTTAGGTACTTTATTTTACATCAGTTATACTTCAATAAAGTCATTTAAATTTTTAAAAAACTGATCCCTAGGATCCATCTCATATTAATAAAATGAGAATTTCAGTAGGAAGGGTACTCACATTAGTATTTTTTAAGTATTGGTGATTCTAATGTGAAAATGGTAAAATATTACAATTGAAACGGTACTGGTCAGACTGTAGGATAGGCAAAAAGTCATAGTGTAGTAGTATTTTTTTAGATTCGCTTACCTTCTAGCAACCAACAGCACAGACCTGTTTCAGCACCCCACCCCAAACTCAAGTCCCTATCTTCATTTTCGGACTGTTTCTGAGAAACAGAAGACAATGCATTAAATCACTATCAGGTATGTTATTCTAGGACTGGGCTTCTTAAGCAGGAATCCAACAAGGGAATCCAGCCTTGTCAGTGGACCCACTAGAATTATAAGTAAAATTTTGTGTGAATATGACCTCAACCCTTCTGCTCTAATCATATCAATACGGTGGGTCTTCTAGTATTTCAAAGGAATGTCAGTGCCTGTGGCCTACAGTGGGCTGTGGAGAAGAAAATGTTCTTTGAGGATATATTACATGATTATCTGGGTTCACTTTAGGCCAAGCCCTGTCCTTAGAAAAGAAATTTCGTGACTTTAGGATTTCTTTTAGGGACATAGGACCAAAAGAGTCCAATGGGGTGGTAATTAATTACCATCAGCACTAGCTAGCTAGGAGTCCTTCCAGTTCTAAGATGCAATGAGTCAATTCGACATGGAAAATTGCTAATGGAAAGGATTATGAGACTTACAAAGGAAAGTCACACATCCCTGGCCCTCGGTTGAGAAAACAAAACACACAATGTGTCACTATAAATTTCCTCAAAGACACCAAGACATAAGAACCATCACATTCCTTCATCCTTCTGGAACAAACATGATTAGAGAGAACATCTCTAGAATCATACACTAGATCTGGAGAAAGTCCTCTGATCTTAACTCTGTCCACTGAGACAGTTACTGACCAAATCCCTAGGCCAGCCCTACTCAAACACCGAGGCCTTAGGCCTGTTCCTTCCCGTCAGAAATCTCTCTGCCATGGGTCACTATTGGAGCTCAATTCTCACAGAAATCAGCAATACACCGTCCATCCCTTCAGTCTCAGGAGACCCCACCTTTGCTGAGGTGGGTCGGGTTGCTGGTTCCCCTGTCCTTCAACACTTTGAGCCATTTCATTGCCCTTGAGACTTTAAAAGCAGTCTCTCCACTGGGACAAGTGAAGCCCTAAGCATCCAGCACAGAAAGCACTATTGCCCTCTTCAAATGGCAATTGGAAAATTGCCTTTCAAGAAATTAGCACCACTGGGGCACCTGGGTGGCTCAGTGGGTTAAGCTCATGTCATGATCCCAGGGTCCTGGGATCGAGCCCCACATCGGGCTCTCTTCTTGGCGGGAAGCCTTCTTCCCTTCCTCTCTCTCTGCCTGCCTCTCCACCTGCTTGTGATCTCTCTCTCTCTCGTCAAATATATAAATAAAATCTTAAAAAAAAAAAAAGAAAAGAAATTAGCACCACTGTGTACCTGGGACTTTTTTTAGATACTTTTAAAAACTATTGAATTTATGAGTGTTAACTAGCTGGAGTTTAAATAAAAATGTGAAACTACAAAAAAAAGTGACAATGTTTGGTTTCAAAAAAATAATAGCAGAACTATTTTATTTACAAGAATCCTCTCCCAGTTGACCACTGAGCTGGAGGATGCAAATAATGACCCACTCTGCAGGGGAGAAGAGTAAAACCACCTCAAACACATCTGCAGTCCCTGTGTGCCTCTCTCAGCTCTGAATGCTTTCCGTGCATTGACTCACAGAATCCAAACAACCCTGCAAAGTACTTAACATTCTTCACCATTTACAGGTAAAGAAACAGAGGCACCAGGAAGGTAGATAACCCACCCTTGGTCTACAGTTTGCTCAGGATCTGAACTCAGGCTATGAGAGCCCCTTATCTTAGTCACTGCTTCTCACCGCACAGAGCCAAGCCACAAACTGAAGAGAGATCATGCAGATGCCTCGAAGGGCTATTTCGGGGAATGCATCTGCTCTCAGTATTATAACAAACACAGATTCTTCATGTAGAATCCATGGACAGATTTCGTAGGATATCAAGCCCCCTGCAATTTTAGTGTATTGGTATCAATGTACACGTTTTTGGAAGAGGATCTAGAGCTTTCCTCGGATTCTCAAGGGGGTCCACGTCTTCCACCAAAGTTTAAGAACCTGTGGAGGGTAAAAACTAATGGCTAAGTCCCTGTTCAGCCATATAGTTGGTGTAACCTTGGGCAGAGCTCAGAGCCTATGTTTCCTCATCTGAAAATAGAGATAGTAATGTCTACTTCTCCGTAGTAAATATGGGAATGTTTAATCACTATATTGTACCCCGGAAACTAATATAGTACCATATGTTAACTACACCAGAATTAAAATAAGGTAAAATAATGATATCTACCTCCCTGGGTAGTTGTGTTAAATGATATCATTATAAATAATAATATACACAGTCATACCATATAAAACTCATAATAAAATGTATAAAAAGACTATTAAATATCATAAAAAATAGGAGTTGTGATCATGAAACCTATGTTTTAAACTTTTTCCCAACAATATGGTGAATTAGAACCTAAGGGACCCTCCTGATGAAAAAAATTAAAATGTTGTATAAAGGAGGGTTGGTTTTTTTTTTT